CCCCCGCAGCACCCCCCTTCCCGTGCCACTGGGGTTATCTGTTGTGATGCCCACTAAGCTGACACAGGTTTTGATCCACTTCTGACAATGCTGTGGTTCTCTCTCTCAGAGAAGCAACACTTCTGCAAACTGTACCACTTTGGACCTGTGGTGCTTGGCAGAGGCAGCTGTGGTGTCGTGTTGTCCGGTCAGCGGTTGTCGGATGGACTCCCGGTTGCAATCAAGCGGCTCTCCAGGGAGCTGGTTTGGCAGTGGGCGGAACTGGTGAGTAATCCTTTCAGAACCATTCAGCTGCTACCGTGCTCTGTTGGAGAGGCGCCGGAACCGCAGCAGCAGGGGGGTGGTGATGACGCCATTGATGTTGGATTTCCATGCAGTGACGCAGTGATCAGCCCCAGTAGGAGAATTAACTCCGGGCTAAAGGTTTCTCAGGAAGGAGCTGAAATTAGATTGTTTGCTCATCAGATCAGATTGTGCTGCTCTAGTTTCTTCTTTCATCTGTTTTGATTATTTAAAAATCAGTCACTCTGTGTCTCTCTTTCCCTGCAGGACGGTGCGCTGAGCCCGGTCCCCATGGAGATCGCGCTCCTGAAGCGATTATCTGGAGTCGAGGGTCTCAAGGGTGTGATCAAGATGCTGGACTGGTATGAGGTGGAGGGGTGGGGCTTCCTGCTGGTAATGGAGCAGCCGCCGCATTGCCAGGATCTGTTTGACATCGTGACTCAGCGAGGAGCGCTGCCTGAACGCCTAGCTCTCAGGTGGGCCTCTGGTAATGTACCCCTGTAACGTCTGCCTGCGGCTCCCTCCGCCGGCCCTCTGTTGACGCCCCGTCTTTGCTATGCCCCCTCAGGTTCTTCCGGCAGGTCGTTGAGGCGCTGCAGGTCGTGCATTTGCACGGCGTTGTGCACCGGGACATCAAGGATGAGAACATTGTGGTCAACACAAGAACGCTGGAGGTGAAGATTGTAGACTTCGGATCTGCTGCGCTGCTGAAAGATGGCGCGTATGATGAGTTTGGAGGTGCAGAGCTCAGCTGATGAAGCTAAGGATGATGATGATGATGATGATGATGATGA